ACGGAGAAGCCCAGCATCCCCCCCCCCTCAAATGCAAGGGGCCGGGAGAAGCGAGCTCAGGCCTCCCCCTGCTGGGCGTGGGCGGCAGCGCAACTGGGAGGTACCGACACTGAGCAGCCCCCCCACATCAGACCCCCCCCGATATTGGGAGAGGGGAGGGGAGGGGATGGTTGTACGAGGTGAAGTCGAGTTGGGTGGGGGCTGGGAGCCAAGACTCCTGGGTTCTCTCCCCGGCTCTGGGAGGGGAGTGGGGGCTAGTGGGTTAGAGGAGGGGGAGCTGTTGCAGGGGGCCCTGCTGGATACCGGGGTTGGGGGCAGGGCTGGGGTTCGAACCCAGGGCCTTGCACAGCCTGCATATCTCCCCCACAGAACAGCACGTTGCTGCGTAGGGGGGGGGACACCCCGAAAGCCCGGGCTGCCTTCCTCCCCGCAGGGCATCAGCTGCAGCGCCTTTTGCAGCCACATGGTGGCGCCATTTCCCCATCAATGGGGAAAGGCTCTACCCCGCCCCCCCAGCCGCCAATCCCCTCTCAGAGCTGGGGAGAGAACCCAGGAGTCCTGGCTCCCAGCCCCCCCCCCTGCTCTAACCACCAGCCCCCACTCCCCTCCCAGAGCTGGGGAGAGAGCGGAGGGAGGCAGCCTGCTCTGGTGCGTTATTGTAGGGTCTCTCAGGGTCAGCGGGGCAGGGAGCCTGGTGGGAGCTGGGTTGAGGCCCCGATGAGGGTCTGGCCTCACTGAAGCATCTGCTGACCCCCCACTCCCTATGCCAGGGCTGTGCCAGCCCCCCATCCGCCCTTAGCCCCCGCCGTCCTGGTAGCGGGGAGGGGGGGAGGGAGCGGGTGGGAGAGAGAGAGAAGGGGGGTGGCCAGGGCTACAGCGGGGCACTGCCACGCGGCCCTTCCCCCCGCGCCGCGCCGCACCGCCCCGCCCCACCTGCTGGGAGGGCTCCGCTCCGGTCGGCGGGGAGAGAAGGATGCGGCTGCCCTGCCAGGCTTGCTGCAGGGTGCTCCCGTCCTCCGCGCCGCCGCCCCCTACAGGGCGGCTGGAGCAGAACAAAAAAAAAAGCGGCCGTGCCGCCCTAGGATTGGGCGGAATGCCGCCTCCTACAAGCTGCCGCCCCAAGCACCAGCTTGCTCGGCTGGTGCCTGGAGTCGGCCCTGGTCTTATTATAGGGTATCTGGGAGCACCAGGGCTGTGTGTGTGTTATTGTAGGGTCTCTTGGCGGCTGGACTTGTGTGTCCGGGTGTGTCATTGTCCAGTCTCTGGGGGCGTTGGGGCTTGGTTTGCAGGTGTGTTATTGTAGGGTCTCTGGGGGGCTGGGGTTGCATATCTAGGTGTGTTATTGTAGGGTCTCCAGGGTCACTGGGGTGACGTGTGTGGGTTTCTTATTGTCCGGTCTCTGGAGGCGATGGGGCTGCGTGTGTGAGTGTTATTGTAGGGTCTCTGGGGGTGCCGGTGTTGCATGTGAGGGAGAGTTATTGGTACTGGTGCCGCCTTTCACATAGCAAGCCTCTAAGTGCGACCCCCCTTATAAATTAAAAAATACATTTAAATATAATTAACAACCTTAGAAATGCTGGAGGCAAAGCGGGCTTTGGGGTGGACGCTGACAGCTCATGACCCCCCGTGTAATAACCTCACGACCCCCTGAGGGGTCCTGACCCCCAGTTTGAGAACCCCTCTGGGGGCGCTGGGCCTCGTCTGTGGGTTTGTTTTTGTAGGGTCTCTGGGGGTGCTGGAGCTGTGTGTGCGGGTGTGTTATTGTAGGGTATCTGGGGACGATGGGGCTGCGTGTGTGTGTGTTATTGTAGGGTCTCTGGTGGTTATGGGGCTGTGTTCGGGGGTGTTATTGTAGGGTCTCTGGGGCACTGGGGCTGTACGTGCGGGTGTGTTATTATGGGGTCTCTAGGGGTGCTGGAGCTGCATGTGCGGGTCTGTCATAGGGTCTCCAGCGTCCTGAGGCATGTGTGTGTGTTTCTTATTGTCCTGTCTCCGGGGGCGCTGGGTCTTTGTGTGCGGGTGTGTTGTTATAGGGTCTCTGGGGCGATGGGGCTGTGTGTGCAGGTGTTTTATTGTAGGGTCTCTGGGGGCACTCGGGCTGCATGTGTGGGTGTGTTATTGTACGGTCTCTGCGGGCGCTGAGCCTGCGTGTGCGGGTGTGTTATTGTAGGGTCTCTGGGGTGCATTTGCGGGTGTGTTATTGTAGGGTCTCTGGGGCTGCGTGTGCGGGTGTGTTGATGTAGTGTCTCTGGGGGCACTGAGGCTGCGTGTGCGGGTGTGTTGTTGTAGCGTCTCCAGGAGCACTGGGGCTGTGTGTGCGAGTTTGTTATTGTAGGATCTCTGGGGCTGTACGTGCAGCTGTGTTATTGAAGGTCTCTGGGGCTGTGTGTCCAGGTGCATTATTGTAGGGTCTCTTGGGAGCTGGCGCTGCGTGTGCAGGTGTGTTATGGTATGTTCTCTGTGGCCACTGGGATGGTGTGTGTGGTTGTGTTGTTGTCAGGTCTCTGGGGGCACTGGGGCTGCTGGTGTGTTATTCTAGGGTCTCTGAGTCTGCATGTTCAGGTGTGTTTATGTAGAGTCTCTGGGGGCACTGGGGCTGCATGTGTGGGTGTGTTATGGTACGTTCTCTGGGGGCATTGGGATGGTGTGTGGGGGTGTGTTATTGTAGGGTCTCTGGGGGCACTGGGGCTGCGGGTGTGTTATTGTAGGGTCTCTGGGGGTGCTGGGGCTGTGTGTTTGGGTTTGTTATTGTAAGGTCTCTGTGGGTTCTGGGGCTGCGGGTGTGTGTGTGATCCTGTTGGCTGGCGGGAGGTGGGGGGAAGGCAGGAGGAAACCTGGGCCCCAGCGCCCCCCACTTCTGTCTGATGCAGCCCAGGTACATGTCTGTGCCCCCCTGTGCCTCACAGGGAGAATGGGGATGCGGGTCAGGAGTGAAGGGCAGTGGCAGAGCTGGGGGGCTGGGCAGGGACGGGCTGGGCTAGCAGGGGGCTGCGGGTTGGGAGTGAGGGGCATCGGCAGAGCTGGGTGGGGGCAGGCTGGGCTACCAGGGGCTGTGGGTCGGGTGTGAGGGGCACTGGCAGAGCTGGGAGGCACAGGGCTGGGCTAGCCAGGGGCTCCGGGTCATGCTGTCGCAGGGGCCCCCAGCCCTGACCCCCAGTGGTAGGGATCAGAGACCCAGAGCTGCCCAGGTCAGCCACTTCTCCTGGGATGCTCTGGGCTGTGGGACACTGGGCCGCTTGCATGCTTTGTGGAACCCTGGGAATCTCGCACGTTGGCTGGGGAAGGTAGGGGGAAGAGACGCCCCGCCGGTACGGGGCATGTGCCGGGACATATACAATAAACCTGTGTGTATCTGTGGGGTGCGGGTGTCCGGCTGCACTCTTCCTACAGGCCAGTCAGCCTCACCTCAGTCCCTGGAAAAATCATGGAGCAGGTCCTCAAGGAATCAATTATGAAACATTTAGA